TTGTACAGAGGGGCTTGGAGCAACCTGCTCTAGTGGAAGGTGTCCCTGCCCGTGGCACGGTTTGGAGCTGGAGGAGCTTTAAGGTCCCTTCACCCCAAATCGTTCTATGATTCTATGACCCTCCACAGCCGTGCTCTTTGGATGACTTCCCTTGTTCATGGATGCTGGGATAGGACCTGCCCAAACCTGCTTTTCATGCAGAGAATAATCCAAACAGGGCTTTGCTGCCTGCCCTACACACAACCTGGAGGTGATGCTGCCCATCCTTTTGTCCCTCCCAACTCCAGCTATGTTTTATTTGTCTCTGAAATTCCCTTCTCCTGGGTGGTGAAGCAGCCATCAGATGTCCTTCCCCTGTGCTGTGCCTAACCTCTACCACATCCTGGTCTGCAGGCTCCTGCTGTGGACCCCCAGTTTCCATCCTGCGCTCAGCAATGCCCTTTTCTGGTGCAACTGGACCCTCTGAGGAATCCCTCTGGAGCTCGAGGCCAGCCTGCAGGGTAAGGTAAGGTGAGCTCAGTCCCTTTCCACATCCTGCTTCGGGGGGTGTCTTCTGCACTGCGCTCTCCCTTAGGCTGTAAACCACAGTGAGGATGTGGTTGGGCTCTGCAGAGAGAGGAACTGCTGCACTGCAGGGACCTGGCTCTGGGGGAAGGGGTTTTGCTCCCTGCATGGTCCAATGCTGCTCACAGGGCTTCGATGAGGGGTGTGTTTTGCCGCTGGGGCCTCTCTCTGCATCGTGCAGTTCTCCTGTCCTGCTGCCACTGCCCTCACTGCACTTGGCTGCCTGCTTTCTGCCATGAAATAAGGGTCCATTAAAACCAAGCCAAGGAGCTCAGTTGGGAAGTGCAGAGACAGGGTCATTTTCATCAGCCACTCTTGCTTTTGTTACTAAAATAGATCTGCTTTGGCCTGGGGCCGTTGTGTTGTCCCAGGCATTGACTATCACAAATGGACAGCGGGGCAACATTTTCCATTAGTGAAGAAGAGGAGACACATCTCTGAGGGAGAAGGCAGCTCCATAAAGCAGAAATGTTTCAGGCACAGACAAATCCACCTCTCTTCTTTCTCTTTCCTTTTCAAAGCATCGCTAATCCCTGTTTTCCTCACGTAAAATCCTGGGAGAGACCGGCCAGAGCAACACCCTGTCCCTGCAACAACATGGTGCGTTTTGGGTAAGGGGATGGAGGTTTCTCAGGAGAGCTTCAGGTGATTCAATAAGGTGCAGCAGGACCCAAAACCTACCTGGAGGCTTGTCCGTGGTCACTGGTGATGTGTGGTGGGTATTCGTTATGCCTGGTCTCGAGCATGCATCATCTGAGGTCACTGTCTGCAGCTCCTGTGTGCTGTGGGCAGCCTCTGACAGACACATCCACCTCTTCAGGGTCGTTTTGGGGGTGGAGGGTGGCTTTGTAGCTGCTGGTTGCCTGGAGGCCACAAGCTGAAGGAGGATGTGCTTGGGAGCGCATCCCCACAGGGCCCGGTCTCTTCCCTACTTGCTGGCATCTCCCTGAGTGCAGCAGGTCTTGGGGAGGGGAATCCCTATTGCCAAGCCCAGGAAAACCAGGACTTGTCCTTGCTGGGGGAGCTGAGTGTCCAGCCTGAGACCAGCTCCCCAGACTGTCCTCCCCACAAGTGCTCATAACCCCAATCTGTCCAACAGTTGCATTATCTTCTCTTAGCGAAGATGCTTTCCTGCAATAAGTGGTTATTAAAGCATCACCTTGATAAACATCATAACATCCCCACCAGGAAGGTGTCTTCATTTTTCTGCCTTCCCATGCTTCCTGACCAACATCCCATCCCTTCTCCCAGCCCCTCTCTCACATCCACAAGTAGAATAGCATCCTGGGGTCTGTGCAAGCCAGCAGCTTCTTTCCCAAAGCAAAGTGAGGTGTTGTGCTCATTCGAAATGCTAAACCCTCTTCAAGGCTGTGTCTTGGACCTCTTACCCCATGGGATTTCATCCTTTGAAGGCAGAGTTGATCCTGTGCATGTAGTACCATGACTATTGTATAGGAGATCTACAGGTGTGAGGAACTCCTGGAAGAGGACTTTGGTTTTGGAGACCACTTGGCACTGGGAAACTCTGCTCCATCTCACATCCATGAGCGATCGGGGTGGCCCAAGAAGCTGTGGAGTTAGCAAGGTGCTCTGGTGGGAAGTGTCCATGTGGGGGGACACTGCTTTCGTAGGGGAAAAGGCTTTGACATGGTTTAGTGGTGGCCTTGGTAGTGCTGGGGTAATGGTTGGACTTGATGATCTTAAAGGTCTTTTCCAACCTGGTTGATTCTGTGCCTCTATGATGGCAACACAAGGCTGGGGGGGGGTGAGGGGTGGGGACGTGCCCACTAGTGGCAAACGATTTCCCAGTTTGACCCTTCTGCTTAATGTGAACGTGAAGGTGAATGAGCAGCAGCATCGATCCAGGATGCGGGTGATGAGCGCGGTGCCCTGCGGAGAGCTCGGCCCCCAGTGTCCGCTCCCTTTCCCACCGTTCTATCCCTGCCCTCCCCTTCACGCCTTTCCAGAGTGATCAGTCAGAGCGTGGCACCCCAGGCCACCGACCTTGCTGGGGGCCAGGGGGACACCATATAGGTGCCTGCAGAGAGCTGCCCTGCTGTCTGATGGGCTTCTCCCAGCCGCGGCTGCCTCTCTGGTAAGCATCTGCCTGCCAGCAGCTCGGGGTGCAGGGATGCGCATGTTGGGGTGTTGGTATTGATAATGGAGGATGGAGCCAGGAGGGGGCTGGTCTCTGCTCCCAGGGAACAAGGGATGGGACAAGAGGAAACGGCCTCAATCTGCCCCAGGGCGGGTTTAGCTGGAGCTGAGGAACAATTCCTTGCCCAGAGGGTGCTCAGGCATTGGAACAGGCTGCCCCGGGGCGGGGCGGGGGCCCAGGGCAGGGCTGGAATCACCATCCCTGCGAGTGTTCACAGCCCGGGTAGCTGAGGCCTCAGTGCCAGGGGTGAGTGGTGGCCTTGGCAGTGCTGGGAATGGTTGGACTGGATGAGCTTAAAGGTCTTTTCCAGCCTGGTTGATTCCATGATTCCATGCTGTGTGCCAGGAGGCATTTCTCGTAGGTGATGAAGTGGTGTGCCCAGCCACACACTGATTCATTGAGTAAAGGGTGTCTTAACAAGCAGTGATGCATTGATGGGGTTTAATTTGGACTCGGCTTGCAGGGCAAACTGGATCTTGAAGCATCTCCATGTTGCTTTTAAGTCTTTAGCTAAGATGTTTTGGGAAACCAGACCTGAGCAGAGGTTGGAAACCTAGAACTCGTGCTGGCTAATCTGTAGGAAGCTTGTTCTGAGGGAGGGGAAAGAAAGCTGCTGCTCCTTCCCTCCCCATCTTCTGTGGCTTTCGCCACAGATTTCCCGCAGCTGAAAATAACAAACCATTTTAATCTCAGTATTGCTTGTTCTGATCTTTTAATCCAGCTTGCTTTCTGCCTAAAATCATTCCTCCACCTGCCTCTCTATTATATAATTATGCAGAAGATTACTCGGGAGCCAGATTTAGCTGGGCAGCACTGGGGAAGGCGGCGAGCTGTGCCCATGGAAGGTGGGGGGATTCTTCTCTCCCTTTGTCCGTTGTCAAACACGGGAGGGGACAGCAGTGAGCTGAGTGCTTTTGGCTGTCTCTGTGGCTTGGGTTTGAGTATGGGAAGTTTCTCCTCCCTCAGTTTGTATTTGTTGGAATAAAATGCCCCATCGGCTTGGCTGGTGGCTGGAGAAGTGCAACCCTCCTGTCCAGAGGGGGTTTCGAGTGAAACCTTGCACTTCTCTATGCTCTTCGGGGCATTTTATAGCTCTTCTTCTGTCTTTAAGAACAGTGTGGTGGCACGGTCTGGCCTTGAGAAGGGCTTGGGACTGAGAGAATAGGGACTGAGGGAATAGGGACTGAGCTCCTGATGCTTCCCATCCCTGAGCAGAGCTTTGTGCAGGGGAACCAGCAGTGCTGGGTTGGGATGTGACTTGGAGCAACCTGCTCTAGTGGAAAGTGTCTCTGCCTGTGGCAGGGGGGTGGAACTGGATGAGCTTTAAGGTCCCTTCTAAGCCAAGCCTTTCTATGATGCTATGATTCAATGATTCTATGATGATTCGGTGATTCCACGATTCTATGGTGGTGATGCCAAGAAGACATGAAGGTGGCCAGAGCTGCTGTTTTTCACCAATGCCCAAGCTCAGCTGGTTCTCAAGAAGCCTTAGGTGTTACCATTAGATAAGGGCGCAAACCCTTGGATGATAGTATGGTTGGAGACAACTTCCTCACTTCTGACTGGTGCAACCTGTGGCCTTGAGCTGTGATGGGAAAAACAAGAGGATGTCTTGGGCTCCAAAGTACCTTTTCCATTCCCCAGCCTGAGTGTCCTGATGCTGATGGACTGATACCTGCAGTTACCAAGGAAAAGCCATGAGCTGCTTGGCCTGGGGACTACGTCTGGCTGGGATCTGGTGGCTCAGAGCTGCTGTCCCTTGGGAAATACAGAGCTGGGACAAGGAGGGACCCTCATCACCAGTCAAGTCAGACACTGGGAGCTGTGGCTTATCTCGCCTTGCTCCACAGGGCCTCAGGGTCCCTGCTAGGGCAGAACATCCCCAGAATTGTGCTGTGGCTTAGGTTTCATGGGGGAATAACACTTTGAAGTGCCCTTTGAGCCTTGCATAGCCATGCACTTGGTCCTTCTTCCTAGAAAGTTGTTGCAGCCTCCAAAGCAGGACGCTCGGAGCAGCTGGTTAATGCAACCACTGTGCATTAACTGAGAGGGCAGGAGAGGATGGGATCAGGAGCACCACGGGGGCACAAGATAACCTCTTTTTGCAGTGATGGAGCAGTTGTAACACATCCCGTTTCCTCCAAGGTTCAGGAAGCCCACTGAGCCCTGGGGGCTGCAGTCAGGGCTTCAGCCTGGTCCTTGCTGCTGCTGTCTCCGAGATGAAGGATTTAAGCCCAGCAGCCAAATGTGCATTGCTGTTGCCCTCCTCTCCCTCCCGGATGCTCCATCCCTGGAGCGGGTGTGCAGGCACCGCCACTCTGTCAGCATCCCTACATCTGCCTCCTGCATATGGGCTCTTCTCAGATCCCAGCTCCTTTCTCCTTCCCTTGGAAAAGCGTTGGCTGGTTCGCCCTCATTGCCTCGGGGCAACCTGATTTGCTCAGTGGCCTTTAAAAACAAACCCAAAAGAAACCCAAGCCCACTGGAATGACAAGGACATGAGCAGTGGGGGCGCGTCTCCCTTTGCCAGCAAACCAAGGGATTTGGGAGAAAATAGGTCACGTGCCCTTCATCCCATGCCACGTGGTGGATCTCCCAGGGCCAATGAGGTTCGGAGCCCTCTGCGGAAAGAACAAAAACAAATCACTGGGATTCTTTCTTCCTTCCTCCCCCCCCCCTCGCCCCCGTTGCATTTCTCATCCTTTCCAAACGTGGAAAGACCGGCCATCTGTGCGGACCCCCCATCAGCATAAAGCAGCTCTTTGGAGACAGGTAAGA